AGAAGGTTTACAATATGTACTTTTTTATGAAATAGTTCATATTAGTTCATTTATACTAAATGTCAACTTTCTTGATATACTGTATAAATGGCGCATCAGCTTTGGCAGCCACGGACAATACTAAAAATCGATTACGTCATTGAGTACCTACTTACAGATAAAATATAAATGACAACTCCTGTCAAAAATTTTGACGGCTACCGTACAGATTTGTCATTTACTTTTGTCAACGATCCGTCATTACGTTGATGTAGCGAGCACGCTATGTAGTATGTATCCCATCAACTGTAAAACTCTCTAAGAACATAAGAATACGTAGCAAGCTTGCAATGTTCCTCCTCTAAGACTATGTAATAATTTTATTTTCGATGTTCCCAATTTAATGGAGGTAAAGATAATGTCAATTTCATCAAAATACTGGATGATAACTTTAAAACCAAGATTTCTTCAGTTTAGTGGTGAGCCTATTCAGTGGCTTTGAGAAAGCTACATCTTTCTAAAGCTGATCAGATATTATGTAATACACCTACCTAGTTTGTTCTTTTAATATCTTTAGGTAGCGCATCTGTCACGCCATGTGTTTGGGATCGCGATTGGGAGTTACAAACTATCGGCGCTGGGGTTAGGTAAAAATAAAACGACAATATTGATCTATTTTATATATTTAATCAGACAACGGTACACTGTGACATAACGAACTTAACATTACTGAATCATTATACAATACTACATAGGTAATAATTTAGTTGAAATCGCATTAATTAAAATCAGATATGCATAAAGTCAACAGCTACAGACCGAAATTCAAGAAATACATCAAAATTGTACTTGACGATTTTTAATCAACAATTTTTTTTGAAGAAATTTTCATAAATGAAGTCTGTTACATCAATAGAAGGATATTTGTGACACGCCTCAGCATCATTCGGATAATGATTACATCTTATACATTCATATCAGCGTAACTACTTAACTAAACTTTGTTTGATCTCGATAATATAAATCATACAATGATTTAAGGAACAAAGTGAGAAACGCAAACGAAAAAATTAACAACAATATTCGAACTTGTATAATGACTATTTTATGCTATACCATGATCTCAATGTTAACTACATAAATTACAATGAAAAATATTTCTGAGACCCCTGTACTTTGTACCAAATAAAAATACAGGAGTAGGAGAAATAAGTAAAAATCTAAACTAAGGATATTGCATATATATCATTGACATAAGGAAACACAAGGAAACATAACAACATTATAACAAACGAGTAAGCTGTGTGCCTTGAAATAGTTCTGTATCAAATTACGCAAAACCAATTTATTCACATATTTAATGCAGGCGATATTGTGATTGTGTTTAAGACGTCAAATCATTGGCAGAGATACTGTTTACATAACATTGTTTAAGAAATATTCATTCGGATAAAATAATAGTAGCATTTTATGATCAATGTATGTATGTTTCCTTGTGTATAGAAAGCCTTAAAAAAAATAGGTACAATATATCCATAGTCCATCAATGACAATGTATCTATACTTACAACTAAACAGTCATATTTAAAAATGGTTTTAATAAAAACTGAAATAAAATTTTTGGTGAATCTATAAGTAAGAGCGATCAATAAAACTTTGAGCCCACAATGACGGTAGGAATTTAACTACAAATAAATAACACAATTAGGTATAGCAGACAAAAATTGTGATTTTGTTCTTTACAATCAAATTATTTTTAGTATCACAAAAATGAAATTACTTTTAAAAATAATGATGTCATGATACAAGCACATTATCTGAGTGCTCAACACAATACACTCTATACAGCTCCTACTTGATGAAGATACAAAGAGTTTATAGTACGCAGCCGGCCAATTTGACCTGAATAGGTACATACATTTAAGGTAATTATTTCACTTAACTATCACGAAAAATAACACATTTTACTTAGGTAAGTATATCGTATGTAATCGAATCGTAATTTTCCACTCGGAATAATAAATAAGTTAAATTTTCATTAAATATGACTACGAAACACCGAATGTGCTGAAAATGAACAATCCAAGTTCAGACGAATGGCACATTGCATCTCTGCACTGTTATACTGATTTCAAATAAAATATATAGAATTAATTTTGGACGCCGAAAAGTGATCTAACGCTTGCCAGTCAGGGTATAACCACATCGGCCAAATATATAATTTTTGTATATTTTTTTACTATATAATACTCATATGTTAATTTTATAATATAATTTTGAATTTTCATTATTCTAAAAATTTATAGTAACGTTCAGTACGGTCGAATGGCAGTGGCTAGGACCGGGTAGGAGTTCAGTCAGCCATTCGATAGCTGGTAAGCGGCGTATGCCCAAGCCTGTGGAATTAGATAGAGGCTGTTAATGTTCCCGGCCTAAACCACTGCCACGGGCCGCTCTCTGCCGATCATCGCCGCACCCGTTCCAACACTAACTGTGGTCAAAAAATTTGGAAGGCACTTTCTACTTTTTTCAAAAATTTTTAATTTAGTTTTTGAACACATTAGCCTAGACTTATACAATAGAAAATATGCGTAGTAACATTTACCAAATTTACGCAATACACCTGAAACGTATAGGCCGTTTATATAACATTTTTACCTAGGTTAACCATTTTCCAAAAAGATAGCCAAAAGTTTCAACACTAGATTTGATTTGTGAATGTATTTTATAATAATTTGGTCTTTTTATATAATTACAAATTTTTCAAACTTAAACCGAATGCGTTAATCCAAATTCCAAACAATAGTGAGATATCAAGGCCACTTAGAGACTTACTTTATACATATTTCGAACATTCTGCGACGAGACTCGCTTGGCCGAAGCGCCGGAGCCCTCATGGGACGCCGGCAGTTCGTCCTCCCCCACCATAAGTTTTGTGATGAACGCCAACGAATATCCGCCAACAATACCTAAATCATGGTATACCCTTGCGGCAAGAATTTCCGTATACATACTTATAATTTTTCCGCCGAAACTATTAATAAAAATAACTTTGTATCCGTTTATGAAGGTGCTGATAAATTAAATTTGTACATATACACCTTATTTTATGTTTTTCTATAATCGCTTTCACGTTAGAGACACTGATTGGGAATGTCAGGGTAGCCGAAGCCCTTACACTCGGCGAGGATGTTCGTAGGCAGTGTCACCCGCGTGAGCACGCTACACGTACACAGCTAATCTAAGTTAATTGAAAATGTATATTCTAGCTACGAGATAGGTTAACAGGCGTTCAAGGGATGATCTTCAAACGCTTGGCGAGTGTTTAGTGCTTCTAAACCTAACATGGACAAGCCAGTTTTCCTCCTTACATTAACGACATTTATTAAATATTTTTTATAACATTAGATATACTACGAGATCTTGATTGTTAATATGTGGTATATTCAAAGGATAACCATATGAAATGTTTCTATTTCAAGAAATCGTTATATTATTAATGTATGTCAGTTGGCATACGAGGCCAATAAATGATTACGCTTCTATCTCTAAATACTTCCATACTTTGACTATAACATGAAGACATAAACCGTAATATTCTAACACGGACATCAATTGGAATGATACTGAGAGACATTGAAAGCTGACATCGATTTTTAGTTAATGCAGAGAGGTTGGGCGAGCCATATCTAATTTAGTCTAACATTTGGAACAATCACTACAGGCTAAAGATACATCTATAATACATTTGGCGATCACTAACACTACAAAATATGTATGTGTGATTTGCTGAAGTGAACGAGGAGTCTGGCTCGGGGGAAGCCGCAAGCAACACTCACTACTACGCTATAGAACCCATATCGACACCATGACGACTTGCAAGTTCTAAAGGTTTTATTTAGGATTACATCTAGAGCTAATTTATAATTTTGTCCTATATATTTTGCATGTATTCCACTGAATAATGATTAGGTATACCAAACAGTCTTTTGAATCGGGCCAAATGATTTAAATTTTGATATATATGTTATTAATATTATAGATGGATCTAGGTTACGTTCTTAACCTTACACACATAATTTCACACAGTGGTGTCATAATAGAATTTGAATCACACAGCTAAAGCTTTACGAAGCTTCGAAGATAGACCACTAAAAACTGATTTCGATTTTCCACAATAAGGGCTAGCTAGGGTGGCGAACAGTGCGTCGATTTAGATAAACTACAGTTTGTGACCAGACGGGTTGTTGGACTGTATTAAAGGCTGAATTTCATGTAAATATAATTATAAGATGAGAAACAAATACGTACATTTTCATTTATAATCGCCAGACTTATGGCCACATAAGATTTTCTTCGCTTTCCATGAACAAGGTGTGTTTTGGCAGAAAATCGGGTTGGTCATGGATCAAAAATGTTTGATAACTTACACACTTTATAAATCGTAAAACACATCAATCATATAATAGATGCTATATATGCAGATGTATTCGCAGCTACAAGAGTTTATCTCTTTTAAGGTGGTAGCTACTTTTTTAATTTTATTATTACACCACTGAACCAATACAGTTACTAAAGCAAGCGGGTGGGCAGCTCTCGCAAGCGTTGCTGCCCCTCGCTCGCGATCTCTAACAAAATACATATAATTAATAATATAATGATACACTTAGTGTGCCACTGGAACACGTACATAATCGACTATTTATAATCAAAATAATTATTATAATTAAACTAAACATAATCTTTCATAGTAATACAAAATTTGTAACTAAACAACGAGCAATGTATTGCACAGGGAGTCCACTTTAAACAGTATGTAATTAAATATGATGAAATAATGCTGACAAAATAATGTCGAATAAACACAGGATTAGCAGAATATACTTGCACCGCGACGCAGTACGTAAAATTCTTTAGAAATAACCGATTGAGTTACGGTTCGAAACAAAATAGGGATAGGCGGGCATCGGCGGCGGCAGACCAATCGGGGTCTGAGGCAGCACCGGGCCCGCAGCCTGGCTTCAGATGTTCTCAGCACGCCCATCTGCCTGGGGCGCCTCCATTTTCACCGGCAGCGGGGAGGACAGGTCTTTGCCATTCTTTGCCACGGTCATCGGTGTCTTCGGTGGGCCCATTTCGGTGATATCAGCAACCACGTCTCGTTCTCCATAACGGCTGTCTGGTCTAGGCGATACGAATGGGCGGAAAGGGTCAGCTGGCTTTGGAGGTTCGAGGGCGTGCCCGGGAGGAGGTGGTGAGCAGAGAGGAGATTCTAAGCCGGTAGACAGCGGTGAAGGTAAGCGTGGAGACTGCAGCGGTAGAGGGGGTAGGCCTAGATGAGGCGGGTGGTCGGGCGGCCTTTGTGCGGCCACTACCATGTTGCACATCTGACGTCGTAGACCATGAGCCACGGCAGCCACAGCAGCGGCTGCGGCAGCATTTGGTGACACTCCTCCTTCGCGCCCGTTGCCGCAGGGTACCGGGTAGGGGCTTTGACCCACAGTCATACCATCCTGGAAACGCACATGTAAAATATTGTACACGTTTTTGTTAATAGCAGATTTTAATAGAGCTCTTACTGATCGAAACAGTTGTTTTCGAAGAGAAAGATACTACGTTCATGGATATCTGTCACGTACCATTTGCATAATTAAAAAACAATTTTTCTTAAGTTGATTACAATGAAGCAGTAATTATATAACGCAAACGGTTGGGAGTTGAGCAGATTTCCAAGAAATCTTAATTAAATCTAACGCGATGGAAATCGCCAGCCAATTACAATAATTGAAGTTCGCAAAGGCATATTCGCATTAGCAGAACGAAGGGTGGGTCAGTGTAGGCAATGAATCAAACGCATGAACAATAAAAGATGCAATTCCGTTTTGTTCGGACGTTTGTGTTTTATCGATGGAAGTAATTGCCCCCATAAATGGTTGTAGTGTATATACTGACCGTGATTTGAGGATAGACGGGCAACACTTCTTCCTTGATGTGATGAGCGGTGTGGGAAGCGTGTGAATCCCGGAAAACTACGGCTCGGATCACGCCACGAATGTGTTCATCGGGCCACACTCCTAGCAAGATGCGCTGCGGCCGACCGCGACCTTTTGGTCTCAAATCTGCAATGATACACAACAGTAAAGCGTGAACAGGCAACGCACAAGAGTTTGCCGGGGACTCTCGCATTCCGTTAAATCAAATCGACTTTCGAAGAAAAGATTTACGGGAATGGCGGTGACTTTTGCAAAATACGGCGTGAATTAAACTTCTCTAAGTTACATTTGCGGTTAATATGATAGTTGAAGTTAGCTAAATTTCCTTATATTTTCCAAAGCGAAAGACTTGCATTTGTTTAGATAAAAATAAACTATTATTATTCAAATTCACTATAGGTATTCAATAGTCGAATAAGTGATTATTATTAAAATGCTGCTTTTTTGCGGCAGTTCGTGTTAATTATAATAAATAATACTAATGGAAGCTGGTTGACATTAATAATGACTACGCGTCATTTATATCTATCTGTCACCAAAAGTGCTTATCATCATTGACGTTAACGGTAATTCTATTACCAGCAAATTTTCGCATTTACCACAAAAGTAACTAAAAATAACTATGGTTATAAGTACTACCATCTATATTCAAAACATTCAGAACGTGTTTTGCAAAAAGAACAGAATAATCATTTCACATTATAATACAGATACAATATAACAATAAATTCGCAGATTGAGGTACATTAGCAATTTAAATAAGAATTATTGTTTTGTTCCGTAAGACTAACTTGCAGAACTAAACAATAAAATTGACATGAGAAAAATTCGCATCAAAGCATTCGCATAGCATAACATAAATATACTGTACATTGTGTAATCTCCTATATATGTTGTGTCTTTGTTTTAGACATTAAACGGAAAACTTTATAGTTTAACGGTTATTACAAAATGACTAAGAAAAAAATAGCGGCAAATCAAATCGTTGGAAATTTGTTAGTATCATTGACATTTTAGTTTTTTAGTATTATTTATCTTTAGATAAAGATATTGGCACATCATGCGGGAATTTTTCATTCGATTCAATCATTTAACCACTTGCAAGTAAACCTTTTATTCACATTCTACCCAAATATCATTTTTCTTCTCATTCTTCACATAACCTTACACACATTTCACTTAAAGTTCGTATTGTACGACAGTTTTACTTCATATTAAATTTTTTGAATTCGATAAATAATACCAAATTTTGCAAATAAACTTTTGTCTTCGGTATAATTAATTTTTAATATACAAATTTGTACTAAGAATTCTGAAGTAAAGCGATTGATTTGCCTCTAACAAGATAATTCTGTTCCACATACCTGTACCACCATCAGCACTGGGTCCCAGCATATTGTGGACCCGATTTGCGTAGAGGACAAATGTGGGGTATGGTATATCGTATTTCCTTGCAGCTTGTGACAGAGAAAGTCCCTCCTTCAGCACAGAGAAGATTGCTTCCGCCATTGTTTCAGGCCTCCAGGACTTTAATGGGCCGCGTTCGCGAAATCGTAAGTTGTGCACCAAGCTCTGATTGGTGTTCCAACACTTCTGCCACATCGACTGGAGCTGGTACTGGTAGCTATCTACTGAAATTTAAAAATAATAGTATTAATGCAAGGGGTAAAAATATAATATTTTGGATATATTATGATAATTCATCTATCTCACTTGTAGCTAACTATAATAAAAAGAGTAAAAATGAGATTAATTCGCTAATAATTTTTACGTTTTACGCTTCAATAGTACCAATTATGATCAACAAATTCCAAAATTTGCAAGTAAAAAAGCATATTTTATTATTTTACGTCCCAACTGTAACATTTCTTTTAGACAGGCTGACAGGTGGTCGGTTGTATGTTAATAGTTTTTAACAATGAAAAAACCCGTAAATGTTTGCTTTTATTGTTGTGATAAATATAGCTCATTATGTGGTTTGGTAAAAGTGAGGTCACCGCGATTATTAAGATGATGATGAAGAATTTCGAGGTCGAATAGTTCAAATACGTATGTATAAGCGGGTTCCCTTTTAGGGGAAGTAAGCTTAGTACTGTAAATAGCTCTGTCTTTAAAACATCTCCTTAAGCTAGAAATTGCGAAAAGAAAATACGCTAAGCTAATCGAATCCTGTAGCATCTAAGCGTCGATCAATAATCATTAGGAACAAGTATTTCCAGTAAAGAGGGGTTAGTTAAATCAAGATAGACAAATGAAACCTACTTATTAAAAAAAACAACAACAAAAAATTCTTATATTTTCACTTCATCTTGTATTGTTAAGAATTTCGGTACCGAGGAACTTTAAGATGGATTGAAATATACTTTAAAATGATATATCAGTTAAATAGTAAAGCCACAGCTTTTAATTTAAGCGAAAATAATAGTATCCATATTTACAAAAGCTTGCCAACCCTCGGCACATTGGTAGAGAAAGAAAAATAAAATAGTAGATTTAATGTGACTGGCATCAAAAAGAAAGGCAAGAAAAACAATCAATTCTTAAAAAATAAAATTAAAGGAAAATTTAGTTCAAAGTGTGAACGTGAAACGTGAAAGTGCGCCTATCCAGACCCAGCTCGTTAATCAAAATTTCTAATCTAGATATCAGTAAGTTTCGACGAAAAGGCATTCTTCTGAAAGATGGGACAAAAGGGATGATGGGATACCTAGGGAATCTGGGAGATGGGATCTCTAGATATAGAGGGTTGCTTTGCATCGTGTTGTAATGAAAAAAAATTAATTAATTCCTTAACTGACCTGCGAGTGACGATGTGGAAGCGCCAAGCCAAGCATGGGAGTTCTCAAGGATCTTCGCCTGAAACAACAAATACAATTGTAAGTCTTAATACAAAAACACCATTGTATAGAAATGAAACCAGCCACCAACCGAGATTACTTAGTTACGGATAAAAATATCGCTGAAACTCATTAATAAGTAAAATGTAAGAGTTGATTTACGGACAATACCGGGTTAAACTTAGCTGGAGGCGAGATTCACACCAACTGTTACTCACGTGAAAAGTTAAAAGGAATACGAGGGATGAAAAAATAATTTTCCCGTTTTTAAAATACGTAATAAACCCAGCATTGAATGCTCAACACTCACCGACATGTCCACAACAATAGTGCTTTTTTTAATCGAAGTATTCATCATGATTTCACCGTGGAAAAACCACAATTTTTGTTTGACATGTTCGCTTTGAAGAGCCGAATTGTAAACATTTTAAAGTAACTTGACAGTGAATTTATTTCACAAACGTTTTGACTGCCTGAAGCCCAAACTGTCGAAATCATACAACCATACGAAGTTTTTGTATCAGATTTATATTAAATACAACAATACCATTAAGGAAGGAGCCTTATAGTAGCTTCGTTTAACACTTAGCACGCCTGAAATATGTCGTCTATTTCCATTTTAAATACGTATTGTGTTTTATGAATACCTTCGTATATAATTGTTTTCCCGAGTGTGCCTAATAATATTATGGGCAAGTCACTCGCGCGGCACATTCATAAATCTATTTTATCGTATGCCAGCAATAAATTTTATTTCGGGATCTTTAATTCTTTGTTATTGAATTGGATTTTAGTGTTTATTTGGGTAAACAAACAATACATTTCAAACGGTACTCGGTGCACGTGCATGAAGCGTAAATACGACTAGCCTTACTGCACGGCGTCGCTTAATAAAAATTTATTTCCGAAATGCCTAATTTACTATTGAAGTTACTCGGCGCTTTTGTCTGGGATCACAATTAAAAGTTCGATAAAGTTTTGTTACGATGTACAAAGACTGCCGCTCTTTGCTGGAGCGATTACTGGTTCAATGTAAATAAACTGCACTATGCGAGCGGGTCCGAGTCGGTAGCGGTCGTAAACTTCCTGCTCGAGATTGGTAGGTGTAAATTAAAACATGAATCGATTTATTCATCGGACTACCGTTATGGTTGTTGTGAATTTCAAACAATTAACTATTATTCTCAGACACCTAACGTCCATTGGATTAAAACTTTCAAATAAATCAAACTGAAACAGTAGCTAAACTACTAAAATATAATAATGCAATGAATTGAACCTGTACTACACTTGCCAAGCTTATATGAGCTTATGACTCATAAATCTCAAGAAAATAATCGAGCAAAAGTTATTTTAAAAAGCTGTCCCCGTAAATTTAGTTAATACATATATACTTATTATAAAGTATCGCAAGGCATCGAGAGGTATAAAATGAATTATATTTTAATGTAATAATGCAAAGGTAATTTGGCTGGCGTAACGTAATATGCACATTCGCCATGATGTGCAGGGTAATTGCGTAATACAGAAGCCTATTATGGTGTTTCCTTACTTTCTGATGATGAAATAGGAGAAAATAATGACTAACACAATTTACAAGCTATTTTACTATTAGTTCATGTGTAATATGAAATTAATAATTGCGTGTTGGTCAAAGGGCAGATTGTTATAAGCTCAAAATTCTGAAGTGGTTTAACATACTTTACAGGTCCAGTATGTAAATAAATGAAGGAGGATTGGACTTCCAGGAAACTGTAATCATTATTTTATTATGTATGAGAAATTTATATTTGAATAAAATGTCAGAAAGAGAAACGTAGTCCTAAAACTGGAAAATTTCCTCAGCATTTTACTTTTAATTATAAAAATCAATTCTTATCTTTAAATACGTTCGAGTTACAACACATTTTATTTAGCATAACTATGATTTCATAAACGGCATGTAGGCATATTTAATGGTAATCAAAGGTATATTAATAATAATTCTAATTGAGATCAATTGAACTAACTCGTCTCACCCTTGACCCTAATGAAATGTATAAAGAGACCGTTCTTCCGACGGACCGATCTAAGCAAGCTTACTCATATTAAATACTATGTAAAAATCTGCTGTTATATTAATCAATATAAAGATTCAAGGCTGAAAGGGTGCTGTCGGTAGCCTGGGCTTTTTTTAAAAAACCGTCACTTAATTATCGTTATGTGGTGATGATGGAGCAATACGTGTGCGTATATCCCACGCCAAGGGATAGACGTTTTTCATACCTTCACTACTTTCAAAAATTTCATACTTCTGTTTTGAATTTTTCAGATATAATTATCTAAGCCGCCCATCGTGCCGAAAAGCTTTCTGTCGACTTAATAGATCATCTGGATCATATAAAACAAAGCAATCTTTTTACAAAGAAATCCCTGAAGTGAAATGTTCCGTGTTTAATAATTACTTGTAGGTAAATGTACCGTTGATGCAGGGTAGCTTACGGGGCATACCAAGCGAACCAGTGTACTACGCCTCACGAAGCAAGAGATTGTTGAAAGCAGTTCAAGACCGGTCAGTAACCAACCTACAGTATCTCACTTGACATTACGCAACCTATTTACTAATGATATATATTGAATATCAATAGTAATTACTATATATAACTTCTTAACACAAGTTATATACAGAATTTAAAGATAATAAAACTATTGATACTGACAATGACTAATAACTATTTTGAATTTCACTATTATATTTATTATTTTGGCTTTAATAAGTTTAATACCTAAAGCCCCGCTTTCATAATCAAACATGTATTTTAATAAATGTTTGAAAGGCTAATAAAATAAACTAGCATTTAGTGAACCATTAAAATATATAGGGGTGTAGGCGACCTGGCCTGAGAACTCTGAAAACTAAACTCTTATTGGAAAATCTATGATAGCCCAGCCACTGAAGATAGGCCGAAAATTAATGATAAAAAGCTAACTTATACAACGATGGCATGAAATTGCGCTGAGTAAAGTATAACACGAATAAGCGAAGGGCAAAATGTTAGTGTTCATGCGGCAAATGAAAGTTAAGCAGCATTGGTGACAAAGTAACAACCCTACCGAGCCGTTTTCTTTATTTTAAATGAGAATAAAAGCTTGTGGGTATAAAATAAGGAGCCGTGAATTTGCTTTTATGAATTCAGAACTTTATTACGTAGTTTTAATACATTGCATTTTTCTATTTAACTTTAAAAGCGAGTTTACGTTCAACTCGAAATTATATGTTTCGAAACTACGAGATGTAAAAAATTAATTAAAACTTTTCTACAATTTGTTAATGAGAGAGTACAAAATGGATCGAAAAAGTTTTCCGAATTTTTAATATTAAATCGTTTGCTAGTGTAATATAATAAAGTCTTTGAGTCTGTGGGTAAGGCGATGCTAGCAATGCTATACTTGTTTGTTTATACAATAATAAGAAATAATATTATTCAACAATCCGCGAAAATAGAGGACACCGTGAGCCATTTTTGTCAAAACCATCCATCTTTTAGTCGATACCAACTCCGGGGAAATAAATACAGATAATGCAACTTTCTCTACAGCTGTGATACTTTTGACATCCAACACCTTTTGTCTTCAGTCACCGTGACCACGCACGCTGTAAAGCACGCCAAACGTCGGATAAATTTAAAATTATGTTAAATAGTTGTAAATTTATAATAATACATAACTTCAATCCGGTCAAAAAGTTTTTTCTTTAAATAATATTATTGATTGATGTGGGAAAATATTACACTAAATAGTTTCCTTATCAATGATAGACACAGACTTCAAAACTATTAGACTGTATCGCCAGTGTTAAATAGCACTGAATACATTATTTATAAACAAGACAAATATTATTTTAATTTTTAAAATTCTGTAATAAATAATAAAACTTTCTGCGGTATAATGACTTTGAAATGTGCTTTAGCGCCTCAGTATTAGTTGTGTGTGTAAGTTTCCACACATATACGAGCGATTCATTTGTGATAGGAGAGTTAGAGAAGAATGGGAATGGAATCCTCCGAGAGACGAAGGATAACTAATCACACATCCTCGCTGCGGCGCTATGGGTGTGATTGTGTTGTCAGGCGCCGCGATTACGAATATTTTCAAATTCTAAAATTAAAATTCTCACTGTCATCTAAATCATCATCATCATCGCGGACGGTAATAAATAAAAAAACTATTAAAATTTCGTAATTTTCATAAAGTATTAATGTTCTTAGAGAACTTAAGCTTTTTGATAACATTCTATTTGTTAAGAAGTACTATTGTGTTTTATATAATATTATGTTTATACGTGGTAATACGATCCGCAATTTCAAAGCGGCTAGTCAACCGCTAGAGCAAGCTATAGAAATCGCTGACGCTACTAGCATGCTCAATCTATTAAGGCCGTTGCATTATCCATTTTCACATTACTGCCTTTTTGTTCCCCGTTTGATTGTTTAAGCGTGCGTCGATGTGGTATCCAATGGTTACTTTTTTCTATAGTGCTTTCACTTGAAATGGCTTCAGTCAATTGTGGAATATGTTGCTCTTATTGTTTCAGAAGAACAATAACCTTCATTTTATATGTTTACAGCGTCTGAAGGCTTAATAGGCACTTTGAGTCTATTGCACGCATCTCCCGTTGTTGTTATTGTGCCTAGATCTATTCGAGTATTGGAGTATGTTTCTATTTCATTTTTTATTGTTCTACTTTCTATTGCAGACTAGTCGAGTGATTAGACAACGAGGACTGATCATTCCTATAGAATCGTACTTCAACAGGACTTCAACATGCAATGTTGGTATTTTAAATAACTCCGAGAAGTGTGTATAGTTTGCATGGTTTTCGTGTACTTGCTTTTTACACTCAGCCTTAAATTAAGATTTACGTAGGGATTCTACGCAAATCGTGAAACTTTAATATTGCACACAGAACTAATATTTTAGAGTGTTTCGCTTAAAAAGGTTTTTATAATATTATTTTGTGTAATTTATATTATTTTATTTGTAACTAGCAACAATGGTTGTCTACTGGCCCACCTTGGGGACGCAGGACATGTAATCAAGTATCGAATTAACTTCAAATAGAAGTACAAATCGATCTAAAATCTATTTTATATTATGTGTAAATGAAATGTTGGTATCACTTTAGAGTCGAGACGTTTTCCATTAAAGTGAAATGTTTGTATAAATCTTGTGATATTTTTCTGAGTTTGTTGTAAGATCAATTTCTATGAAAGCCTCGTACAATGTCGAAATGCATCCTACGTGATGAAATTTCTTCGATAAGTATCATTGACTCGCTGTATATTTCTTTATATGAAATGTAATTTAATTATATTAAGT